AAATTTGTTAGTCTCTAAGGTGCCACAAGTACTCCTGTTCTTTTTGCAACATGACATGAATGCTTCATTTCCTATATTTATTTGCATTTTTTGGTAGACTATGGAGTATTTTCCATTTTTGCGGGATTTTTTGTTTTGTTTTTACACACCTTGGGACTTGCCTTCACTCTGCTGGCCTTCTACCTACATGTCCCCTCACCCTAGTTCTAAGCACTTCCACCATGAGTCAACGTAACCTCATGCAATCCTGTTGTTATCCTCCCCATGTTGCAGCTGGAGCAACTGAAGCACTCGGAGATTAAATGACATTCGTAGGGTCACGCGAGGAGTCTGTGCCAGAACCAGGAATCATGAGTCCCAGTCCAGCGCCTCAGCCACAAGACCATTGCCCTTCTTTCCTGGCCTTTCCCCGTTTGTACGTGTATTGTGCTGGTTTGGAGAGATGCTCTGAGATGCAGAGTACTGTATACATCCGGCAGCATATTTTGCTTTGGAATTCGGATGCCGATGTGTAAAGTGGGGTGGGGCCCAGATATCTCAGAGACCACATCACTCTCCGAAACCTATCTTGACAGCTGTGATCAGGCAGGATGCTGCAGCGGATGGAGCCCACCATGAAACTCACTGGGGCTAGATATAGTCAGTGAAGGACCCTCCGCCATGCAATTCCCTACCACCAGGGATTAGAATGAGCTTCAATCCCTTTCAGACCCTTCTCTTTGAGAAGCCTTCTCCATCGAACCACAAGAGCAGAATGGCCAGCAGTCACGGAGACAGAAGACCAAGAACAACCACAGCGGTGCAGATGATGAAGAAGTGGAGAATATAGTCCTACCCCACAGAAATGATGCGATTCCTAATGGTCTCAATGGCGCTTTGATGCTACAGCACCGGACCCGTTGAGAGTGTGAACGTATATAATTCAGGTTAGCGTGATGTGGCAGACGATGCTATACAAATATAACGGGCAGGTTGATTAGCCTAGACAATTGAAACTCAGCACCCACTAGAAGTGAGAATAATGGGACTGACAGAGCTTACTCTCTGTTTAGCATCCTGTAAATTATCCCAAACTAGTATGGGCCAGGAAGCCACAATCTTAGTTTCTTAATGACATTCCTCAGAAGAGTCTCAGCAGGACAACAGGACACGCAGAGACAACCCATCCTCCATGTTAATTCCAGGCTAACCAAACCTGGCCTCCTTGCAGAAAGAACCTGTCTGCTGGTTCCTCCTCACGCCCCCTTGCCTGCACGACCCATTGAGCCACAGCAATCGGCCGCCAGCCCTGTTCAAAGACGACGGGATTTACTTACAATTTGTCCAACAGATTTGCAGCTCCATCAGAAAAGAGGCCTCTGGTGAAAAGCTCGTCCACCACGTAATCAATCCGAGAGGGGGTAAAAGGGATGACCTGCATGAAAACCATCATGGCACAAGAGGAGGCAAAGACATCGGACAAAATTATATGTTTGTGAAAACCTTGCTAGAGAAGCAAAAAAGGGGCCTCAGCTTGTTCCAAATTCAGATTAGCCGCGGGTGCCCAGATACATTTCCCCTAAACACTAATGTTGGAACACATCTGCAAAGTGTGTGTCACTGCCCCCTCTAGTGGCTGGTCCAGAGTGGATAACAGCCTACTACTTCCGGTAGCTAATGAAATGACTCCTTTACTCAAGTGGTAGAGGGGCTTTGGTACTGATTGTCCCAGGTTCAAACTCTCATTAACCTGGGTCTCCCTGATGATATGAAAACTTGCCCCGACCTCTGACTTGTGTCCCCTGAAGAGAGTTGCCCTTTTGCCTGGCAAACATGAGCTGGATTAAGGGACTGCGAGACCAGGGAGCCATAGAGGTTCAGATGTCTTGATATTCGTTGGGACAGAAGCATAAGCAATATTATGGAGAACTGGCACTCACGGCTGTTTGGAAGCCCCAAGCCATGGTTGGAGATATGGAAAGAATTTCGACTTGACGATGATTTTGAGACGTCAAAGTCAGACCAGTGGGCCCACGAGGCTAGTGAGAGAGCGGTGGCTGGGAACAAAGACTATTGAATGAAGCTTTTCACTTTCTAATCTTCACAACAGGTTAGTGAATAAGCATTATCTCCATTTGGCAGATGGAGGGGCCAGGGAAGCGGAGAAGTACATGATTTGCCCAAAGCCACCTGACCCTCTAAAGCTTTTCTCCCCTGCCTCGTCCCCCTCCCTTCCCTTCTTTCTATTTAACTGATCACCTCCTAAGTAAATCCACCTCCCTAAAAACCCCTGTGGAATTAACATGATGTTTGCCACCATCACATTGTTCCCGCTAACTTGTATGTTCTACCCCTCCCTCCAGGCTGTCTCTCTCTTGTCTATTTAGATGATATGCTCTTTGGGTCAGGGACTGTTTACTGTTCGGTGTTCGTGCAGCACCTAGCGTAATAGGGCCCTGGTCTCTGCCTGGGGCTCCTAGGTGCTATCAAAATACACATGCGTCATGTTTTATGTTACTGCTGGGATTAGAACTCTGGCAATCCCTGGCCCTCAGGCCAGCACTCAGCACAAGAAACGTACCGTATGCCCTGCCTCCTGGAGAAGCTTTTTGGTTTCCTGCACAGCCCGTCTCATGCTGGGCGAGGGCTGGAAATAGCCGTCTCCGTCGTAATACCCGATCCGAAGAGGGGCTGAACTGGAGTACACCTGGAAGCAGAGGAGCTTTTGCTTAGGAATCAGGGAATGGCCAGATTGGGTCAGACCTGAGGTCCATCTAGCTCAGTATCCTGTCTTGGACAGAGGTCACTGCCAGGTGGCTCAGCTGTGGGTGAATTGAGGTTCTGTCCAACAAGAAACCATGTTCTAAGATGGTCTGCCCATAGTTGGTTCAATGGGGCTATTTCCAGAATACAGATCATAGGTTTGCAAAGACTAGGATGTTTTCATCCATGGCGCCATCTCTCATGGAGGCTCCCTCATTGAGGAGCAGTCTGAGTCTGTTACCTCCTCGTTGAAGGGCAGGGGTGGCACGGTGGGGTCCAGGCGGAACATGTCGTCACATAGGAGCGCTCTCATGCACAGAGCCAGGCTGTCCACGTCCCTCGCCATTGGCCCAACCATTCCTGTAACTGCAACCAGAAACGCAAGGACGCCCGTCACCGAAGATGGAATGCAGAGGTGCCCCGTTACATAGTCCATCTCTTGGCTAACGCAGGGAAGGCTGTTCCACAACACAGGGCATGGTGGGTCAAACGCTTGGGGCCAGATCCTCGATCCTACTCTGTTTCCTTTGCAGCAGGCAGAGCAAAAGGAGCAGACGTTGTCTGTAATCTCCCTGTTGGGGATTCCCCCCAGCAGGGAGGAGACCCCAGAGCCAGCAAAGCCGGTCCCTATCCTTCCCCAGCTGCCATTCCCCAGACCAGAGGGATGGCCGGAGTGCAACCTGCTCTGGCAATCTCCGACTGGCCTTAGGGACCCCACGCCAGCTGGCGCAGGTTAGGGCAACCCCCAGGCTGCTCTAACTTGTATCTGGGGCCAGGCCAGGCACAGAATCAGGATTCCATTACCCAGCTCCCCAACAACACACCCCTCCGCACTGCACCCAAAGACAGCTGAACATAGCAGACAATCTTGTGCTTAGTCATCAAAAGAATCAGGCCTGTCAAGATCCTCTTCTATACAGCATGAAGTGTGAAATTTAAAGGGACAGTGTCGTATTTCTTAAAATACCTACTCACCACAAATAAAAATGGAAAGTGACAGCACAAAGGGGCTGTAGCAGGGGCCAGGATCTGGCTAACCACCTCTTCCAATTTTCCCTGCTCAGAACTTGTCATCAACCAACCATGTCTTTAACTAGCATCCATATGTTATCCTCCAGGTAACCAGGTTCTATTTTCTAACCTGGACGGACTCACCTGATTTCATGCCGGCTATCGGACTGGCGAGACCAAGGGTGCTATGAAATATATAAAATGGGAGAAAAATTAGCAACAGTTAGCTGTATTTGGAGGGGATAGCTCTGCCTGAGTTGTAGATACCGCACTTGCTACCGAAACAGACTACAGGTGCTACTTGGTACGTGTGTTACCAACATGCGCGGCACTGTATCTGGTCTAGAGCAAAGGGTCTCATTAAAGCAGGAGCAACGTGGGAGGACAGCGCTGAGGTAAGTGGATCCAAAGATGGGTACAGGATAAATTGGCCTATATCTTCCCTCGTGGATATAATCTAAGCTTCCTCTGCAAAGGATAGTCCACACCCTTTGAAAAGGGCAGGTGAATGCTTGTCTCTATTAAACGCCCCCAAATTTAGTTAACAAAGAGTTACAGTTGCTCAGTGGTGCCTTGTACCCTTCCAGAACGGGAAGGGTGGCTAAACTTCACCCTTTGAAAATCAGGAAATACAAAATACCGTCCAGGCCCAGAGACAAGGAGGTCCAAAATCAATTTCTAGCAGCCCCACCTGTCAGGCTGCCATGAATGGAGCAACTCCCCTGACTCAATTATTCCCAAGTTAGCACCTACGCATCACTGCTTGTTGCCTCTGGGCAGGGAAGCGGCCATAACACAATGGTTATGCAGGGCACAACCGTGCCTTGGGGACACCCGATGCCTGGCTCCATTGACTAGTAAAACAGATTTCACTAGTGGTCACGTGGTCGTTTTCTACTTCAGCGTGTACCTCAGCCTGTTGCCCGTCGGCTTGAGCCCGCACAGCCCGCAGAAGCTGGACGGCAGGCGGATGCTTCCGGCGACATCTGTCCCAAAGCCCAGGATGGAGCCTCCTCCGGCGATCAGCGCCCCCTCCCCTCCGGAGGAGCCGCCGGGGCTTTTCTGGTGGTTCAGCGGATTCACCGTCTGGCCGAAGATCAAGTTGCTGCAGTCGTAGCTGGAGAGAGGAAAGGAGCGGGTCGGTTGTTAATTATTTCTATCTCCACGCACACAGCGAGAGTTCAGGGTGCGTAGACGGGCCAGTGCGGGAGATCAACATGGGAAAGGTTTGCGGATGACGCTGGACTGACGGAGGCGTGGTGATAAGAAGCAGGAGGGCAGGTAACTTTTCTCCTGCGCTGGAGGTGGGAGGAATGGATTCTGCAGGAGAAGTGCTGAAAGGGTGAAGAAAGCCAAGCCAATGTCTCACTTGCCCGATTTCTTTAAGGAGACGACAGAAGGAGGCATGGGGGGCCGGGGACAGCTGTAATACAGAGAACAAGCTATTACTTTATCATGCTCTGAGGGACGTTGGTTTTCACAAACGGAATCGCCCCCTGCCTCTTCAAAACCTGGACTATCACGCTGTCCTCTTCCTCCGCTCGGCCGAGAAATTGCACCAAGCCACTGGTGGAGACGTGACCCTTTGGGGGAGTGGGAAACAAAGCTCATTAGACATGCTGGGCTGACGTGGTTGGGAGCTGGTAGATTTCCCCCCCAGGAGCGAGACATGTCAGCCCTATTGGTAAAAAG